ACATCACGGTCCTTGATTTTAATCTATTCATAAAGGGCTTTTGAACCACTTTTAGTCTGACCCGTCACCCAGGACCTGTTTGCCTTGGGAGACCCTACTAGGGACATATAGCCCCCGACAACATAGCTCCTAGGATCACTCGGGTACTCAAACCCCTCCACCACAATAAGGTGGCGATTCAAGGAGGGGTAAACAAATATATAATATTTTTAAATTATTCTACAGGAATTTTACTTATTTCAGTCAGGTTCATCCTCTGAGAATCATGAATGTCTGGACAAATGTTTTGTGCCAGTCCATCAAAAATTCCCCAGGATAATTAAAACTCCATGACAGTCCACATCACAGACTAGAAGCAGCAAGTTTTTTCCCCTCCTTCAGGTGTACGACCCCTCGGCGGCATATCTCGGTGCTCCAGTGTTTTACACCCCCCAGGCCTACACTGCCATTCCAGGTCAGTTCCGCTTCCCAGCAGCCAAAGCTCACATCGGAGGTCGAGGTGTGATCAGGACACCGTCTGTCAGAGGTGAGGATGCGCTTGGCTTCGTTCATAATCTCAGGCAGAAGAAAGCGAATGTTCTCCACTGGAGACAGTGATGCAAGGCGAGCTCACATTCTCACACAGAAAAACAACATTGCTTCATGGGATCAGAAAAACATACAGCTACTGTAAGAAGCGGAGGGGGCCACGTCCACCTCTGCCACAGAGAACATTTAGACACACAACACTCACTTTACAGGAATAACAGTAATGTGACATCAGCTGCTCTGGAGGAAACCAGGCCATACTTTTAGGTCATTTAGCTTAGGCTATTTCTTTCACAGGTGCTACACAGCAACATGAGCAGGTGTGTTTCCATCAACCATGTTGTGCACAGTTACAAGACAGTTTTGAAATACTGCATTGGCTGAGTTGCAAAAGTTGGTGCGTTTATGAAAATGAACTGTGACAATGTGCAGTGAAACAGACTTAGTGAATCATGTGACATAAAAAAAAGACAAAAACTAGCCCCAGACAGATGAGTGCACGACTATGTGAAACAGACACACCACGTCCTCATGTGGATGCACATCAGAGTCAGAGGCAGTCGAAGCTTCACAGACAGCAGCCAGAGCAATCCGCACAGGACCAGACACTTATGTCTGGGCACTTTACAGGAGTTTGCTGATGCTGCACAGTGAACATTGACTTTAACTGCAGAGGAGGCGTATGTTAGGACAGCCCTGCTGCTGCTGTGTAAGAACGCAAAGGTCAGCATCTCCTTCTGTGTTCTAACAACTTAATGCACAACTTTAAGCCTTGTCCAATACACTGTGCATTTCCTTTTACTTCTGTGCGAGTCTGAGCTCCTCTTGCAACTGTTCTTTATTATTTTCACACCGTTTTGTGTAGTGTTTATAAAACAAACTGCTGGTGTCAGCTGGAAACCCCAAATCATTATGTTTTACATGATTCAAACTCAAAAGGAAAGCTCCTCGGGTGGAGTCAAACGGTTTTTACAGGACAGCAGGGGTGTTTCCACATGAGCGAGTGTCTGATGGTAAACTGATCGTTGGCTGAAGTCCCCTCCCAGCAACGACTGGTCAAGCATATCTGCTCTAATGAATACTGCTAACATTAGCATGCCCGGCTAGCTCACTGCCTGCAGCAAAGAGCCGATGTTCCTTGAAAACCCGACAAACATTTTATACTTTTTGGGGTTTAAAAAAATGTTTTAAAATCCCTGTTCACAAGGAGCATGAGCAGCAGTTGTGTTCGAGTTTAAACAGATGTCAGCAGCTCTGTCTGATCACTCCAGGCTGAATCTGCAAATACTTGGTGCTTTGCCTGAAACAGTTAATATATGTAAAGGCTGATGGTCGCAGCAATGGTAGCAATGAGGGCTGGGGTTTCTGCAACAGTCAACTCACCAGTAATATGATTTTTAGTTTTAGAGACCAGCTGAGCTGAATCAAATCACGCCTGTCTGAATATTGTCAATGAAAATCAAACATGATCCACTGAATCAAAAGTGAAACTTTACTGTTAATTAATCCTGTGAGATAGTGAATCACCCAGAGAAATGATCCTGCAGCAGGAGAGATGTGCTGTTACCATGACAACCTGTACCTGTGCACTCTGATTGGATGATTGTCTGACTATGTGATTCTTCTTCCCAGTTGATTTCTGGTGATTTGATTGATTTCACTACCTTTTCGGTCTCCTGTAGAAATTTACATGACTGTACCTGTAGGGGCTGCGGGGGTGCGGGGGCTGGGAGGGCGGGGCTACCTGGCCTATACTCAGAGGAGAAGCTGTACGACCTCCTGCCGGGCATGGAGCTGACCCCCATGAACCCTGCTGCCATGAGCTTGAAGGCCGCCATCAAGCCTGCACCTCAGGTGAGTGGACACACCTGAGAAGCAGGAAACCCTTGGAGGTGGAGGTTAACACTGAGTTAATACAACTTTGGTCTTATTTTTTTACTTTTCTGTACAAAAATAAGGAGGTGGGGGGGGAATGTTTGTGTCTTCAGTCCACAAGTGTTTTGTGGACTGAGTCTTCCAGGCTATCCTCTGGACAGGACTATGGGTTACTGAGGTGGTTACCACTAACTGAATCAGCAGCTTGTGATAGCTCAACTGTGAATGGTATAGGCTGGTTCTGTGATCTGCTGAACTTGACAGTACTACTGAACAAACCACATAGTCCATGAATCTCTGAACTGTGAAATGTGTTCGGTGACTTCCTGGTCTGCAGCAGCAGTGAGTTGTATTTGACCAGAGGCAGATCAGGAAGTCAGACTCATTCTCTGTGGGCAGGGATCAGTCAGGAATACGCCCCATCACTGATTCAACTTCAGACTGTTGTGGTGAGAAGTTAAAGACCCAGAGCACACTGGGGGAGCCCAAGTACCCTGTCTAGTCAGAGAATGTCTTGAGATCCCCCAGGAAGAACTGCGAGACGTGGCGTCACCGGAGAGTCAAACAGACTCCAGACTCAGGCAGGCAATTAAATAGGCTGAAAACTGACCCCCATGTTACCAAGCACATCTTTCTTTCTAGTCTGACACCACAGCAGAACTTAGGCCCACGTTGTCATTAACTGGGATTTTCCTTCAAAGTGTAACACCACACCCCGCCTGAAGAACCACCTTCACACCAGTGTGTCTCCCCCCCTGCCTGTCTGTCTCCCAGGTCCTGGAGGAGCTGTGTCAGAAGAATAACTGGGGTCAGCCTGTCTACCAGCTCCACTCTGCCCTCGGTCCAGACCAGAGACAACTCTTCCTCTACAAGATCACCATCCCAGCTCTGGCTACGCAGTACCCCAACGTGTAACAATACCACTGCTACTACTGTTACTGCTGCTACTAAACCTGCTCCTACTGCTACTGTTCCCTGTACTGCTACTATGAGTGTTAGTAGTACTTCTACTCTTCTTCCTACTGATACTACATCTACTACTAATTCTGCTGCTGCTTTATGACTGTTACTACGTTTACTACCACTGCTCATTCTGGTACTACTCCTGCTAATACTATTGCTGCTGCTTCTACTTTGACTACTACTGCTTCTCATCCTACTAGTAGTACTGTTATAGCTGCTACTACTACTAGTACTACTGTTTCTAGTACTGTATTGCTCCTGCCACCACTAACTGTTATGTTAGTCGACTAGTTACTGAAACCTGTGTGGTTTATGAGTCTGGCCTATGGTTAGTACACCTAATGATTGGTTTTGTCATGTGATGCAGAATGGTGGTTAAGTAATATTCTGAATCCAGGACTTTTACTTGTAACACAGTATATTATACTGTGGTATTACTACGTTTACATGAGTACAAGATCTAGGTACTTCTACCACTGGACACGACATTAAAGTGCTGAGTTTCTTTCTGATTAAAGCTACAATAAAGCTCTGAGCTCTACGCATTTTAGAACATTTCCAGTTTTAATCATATTGCCTGAAACGAACTTCACTGCAACAGGAAGGTTTTACACGTCTTGGCTCCTCTGTGTGCCCGCAGCCATCCCTTCACCCCTGCTAAGCTGTGTACCACTGTCGAAGAAGCTAAAGTGCATGCAGCCGAACACACTCTGCAGACGCTCGGGCTGCAGACAGAGGGCGCCGCTGACACCAGCTGTGCTACCGTTGCCACCGTGGCCTCGGTAGCCTTCCCAGGTATGTGAAGGTCCGTACCCAAACCAACTAACGCTTCACTCAACAGACCACTAACAGACCTGATAGAACATGACTCTTGACAGCAACATGCTGGTGTCTGTGAATGCTTCACTCAGTAACTCCTGCCAAGTGTAGCTGACACAGTATATGGCACCTGGTACTTATGTATCTGCTGTACAGTTTGTCACTTAAGGTTAATCCACACTTCCAGCCAATCAGAATCAAGAGTTTTTGGTAGGTTATAATATGGCTGCTGTGTACGTCTCTCAGCTTGTTGCTGCCCCCAGTGGACAAATACAACATTTCATATGAAAACTATTCAGCGCAGTTTTCATTTTTTGTGTGCTTTCATTTAAACACACACAAAGTTATTTACCAATGATCAACCAACATACGTAACAACAGACTTTACAGCTCACTTTTAGACTCCCTGACAACTGGCTGTGAATGTTTGTCCCATCTCTGGCCAGGTTATGCTCTGGCAAGCCCGGCAGCATCGG